TCAAAATATGTGTCTTCCTCTACTCGGATCGGGCTGTCAATTTTTTTCTACACTTTTAGGTGTATTTTGTGCAAGAAATTGCAATAAAATAGTCTGCCTAAGAAAAATTGAATTTTTTTGAAAATTTTTTTTTTTGAAAAACGACTTAAAGGTCAAAATATGTGTCTTCCTCTACTCGGATCGGGCTGTCAATTTTTTTCTACACTTTTAGGTGTATTTTGTGCAAGAAATTGCAATAAAATAGTCTGCCTAAGAAAAATTGAATTTTTTTGAAAATTTTTTTTTTTGAAAAACGACTTAAAGGTCAAAATATGTGTCTTCCTCTACTCGGATCGGGCTGTCAATTTTTTTCTACACTTTTAGGTGTATTTTGTGCAAGAAATTGCAATAAAATAGTCTGCCTAAGAAAAATTGAATTTTTTTGAAAATTTTTTTTTTTGAAAAACGACTTAAAGGTCAAAATATGTGTCTTCCTCTACTCGGATCGGGCTGTCAATTTTTTTCTACACTTTTAGGTGTATTTTGTGCAAGAAATTGCAATAAAATAGTCTGCCTAAGAAAAATTGAATTTTTTTGAAAATTTTTTTTTTGAAAAACGACTTAAAGGTCAAAATATGTGTCTTCCTCTACTCGGATCAGGCTGTCAATTTTTTTCTACACTTTTAGGTGTATTTTGTGCAAGAAATTGCAATAAAATAGTCTGCCTAAGAAAAATTGAATTTTTTTGAAAATTTTTTTTTGACGATAAACGACTTAAAGGTCAAAATATGTGTCTTCCTCTACTCGGATCGGGCTGTCAATTTTTTTCTACACTTTTAGGTGTATTTTGTGCAAGAAATTGCAATAAAATAGTCTGCCTAAGAAAAATTGAATTTTTTTGAAAATTTTTTTTTTTGATAAACGACTTAAAGGTCAAAATATGTGTCTTCCTCTACTCGGATCGGGCTGTCAATTTTTTTCTACACTTTTAGGTGTATTTTGTGCAAGAAATTGCAATAAAATAGTCTGCCTAAGAAAAATTGAATTTTTTTGAAAATTTTTTTTTTTGAAAAACGACTTAAAAGTCAAAATATGTGTCTTCCTCTACTCGGATCGGGCTGTCAATTTTTTTCTACACTTTTAGGTGTATTTTGTGCAAGAAATTGCAATAAAATAGTCTGCCTAAGAAAAATTGAATTTTTTTGAAAATTTTTTTTTTTGAAAAACGACTTAAAAGTCAAAATATGTGTCTTCCTCTACTCGGATCGGGCTGTCAATTTTTTTCTACACTTTTAGGTGTATTTTGTGCAAGAAATTGCAATAAAATAGTCTGCCTAAGAAAAATTGAATTTTTTTGAAAATTTTTTTTTTTGAAAAACGACTTAAAGGTCAAAATATGTGTCTTCCTCTACTCGGATCAAACTGTCAATTTTTTTCTACACTTTTAGGTGTATTTTGTGCAAGAAATTGCAATAAAATAGTCTGCCTAAGAAAAATTGAATTTTTTTGAAAATTTTTTTTTTTGAAAAACGACTTAAAGGTCAAAATATGTGTCTTCCTCTACTCGGATCAAACTGTCAATTTTTTTCTACACTTTTAGGTGTATTTTGTGCAAGAAATTGCAATAAAATAGTCTGCCTAAGAAAAATTGAATTTTTTTGAAAATTTTTTTTTTTGAAAAACGACTTAAAGGTCAAAATATGTGTCTTCCTCTACTCGGATCGGGCTGTCAATTTTTTTCTACACTTTTAGGTGTATTTTGTGCAAGAAATTGCAATAAAATAGTCTGCCTAAGAAAAATTGAATTTTTTTGAAAATTTTTTTTTGACGAAAACGACTTAAATGTCAAAATATGTGTCTTCCTCTACTCGGATCGGGCTGTCAATTTTTTTCTACACTTTTAGGTGTATTTTGTGCAAGAAATTGCAATAAAATAGTCTGCCTAAGAAAAATTGAATTTTTTTGAAAATTTTTTTTTGATGATAAACGACTTAAAGGTCAAAATATGTGTCTTCCTCTACTCGGATCGGGCTGTCAATTTTTTTCTACACTTTTAGGTGTATTTTGTGCAAGAAATTGCAATAAAATAGTCTGCCTAAGAAAAATTGAATTTTTTTGAACATTTTTTTTTTTGAAAAACGACTTAAAGGTCAAAATATGTGTCTTCCTCTACTCTGATCAAACTTTCAATTTTTTTCTACACTTTTAGGTGTATTTTGTGCAAGAAATTGCAATAAAATAGTCTGCCTAAGAAAAATTGAATTTTTTTGAAAATTTTTTTTTGACGATAAACGCTTTAATGTTGGTAATAGGTGTCTTCCTCTACTCGGATCGGGCTGTCAATTTTTTTCTACACTTTTAGGTGTATTTTGTGCGAAAAATTGCAATAAAATAGTCTGCCTAAGAAAAATTGAATTTTTTTGAAAATTTTTTTTTGACGATAAACGACTTAAAGGTCAAAATATGTGTCTTCCTCTACTCGGATCGGGCTGTCAATTTTTTTCTACACTTTTAGGTGTATTTTGTGCAAGAAATTGCAATAAAATAGTCTGCCTAAGAAAAATTTGAATTTTTAAAAAAATTTTTTTTTTTGAAAAACGACTTAAAGGTCAAAATATGTGTCTTCCTCTACTCGGATCAGGCTGTCAATTTTTTTCTACACTTTTAGGTGTATTTTGTGCAAGAAATTGCAATAAAATAGTCTGCCTAAGAAAAATTGAATTTTTTTGAAAATTTTTTTTTTTGAAAAACGACTTAAAGGTCAAAATATATGTCTTCCTCTACTCGGATCAGGCTGTCAATTTTTTTCTACACTTTTAGGTGTATTTTGTGCAAGAAATTGCAATAAAATAGTCTGCCTAAGAAAAATTGAATTTTTTTGAAAATTTTTTTTTTTTGATAAACGACTTAAAGGTCAAAATATATGTCTTCCTCTACTGGGATGAGGCTGTTAATTTTTTTCTACACTTTTAGGTGTATTTTGTGCAAGAAATTGCAATAAAATAGTCTGCCTAAGAAAAATTGAATTTTTTTGAAAATTTTTTTTTGACGATAAACGCTTTAATGTTGGTAATAGGTGTCTTCCTCTACTCGGATCGGGCTGTCAATTTTTTTCTACACTTTTAGGTGTATTTTGTGCAAGAAATTGCAATAAAATAGTCTGCCTAAGAAAAATTGAATTTTTTTGAAAATTTTTTTTTTTGAAAAACGACTTAAAAGTCAAAATATGTGTCTTCCTCTACTCGGATCGGGCTGTCAATTTTTTTCTACACTTTTAGGTGTATTTTGTGCAAGAAATTGCAATAAAATAGTCTGCCTAAGAAAAATTGAATTTTTTTGAAAATTTTTTTTTTTGAAAAACGACTTAAAGGTCAAAATATATGTCTTCCTCTACTCGGATCAAACTGTCAATTTTTTTCTACACTTTTAGGTGTATTTTGTGCAAGAAATTGCAATAAAATAGTCTGCCTAAGAAAAATTGAATTTTTATGAAAAACGACTTAAAGGTCAAAATATGTGTCTTCCTCTACTCTGATCAAACTTTCAATTTTTTTCTACACTTTTAGGTGTATTTTGTGCAAGAAATTGCAATAAAATAGTCTGCCTAAGAAAAATTGAATTTTTTTGAAAATTTTTTTTTTTGAAAAACGACTTAAAGGTCAAAATATATGTCTTCCTCTACTCGGATGAGGCTGTCAATTTTTTTCTACACTTTTAGGTGTATTTTGTGCAAGAAATTGCAATAAAATAGTCTGCCTAAGAAAAATTGAATTTTTTTGAAAATTTTTTTTTTTTGATAAACGACTTAAAGGTCAAAATATATGTCTTCCTCTACTGGGATGAGGCTGTTAATTTTTTTCTACACTTTTAGGTGTATTTTGTGCAAGAAATTGCAATAAAATAGTCTGCCTAAGAAAAATTGAATTTTTTTGAAAATTTTTTTTTTTGAAAAACGACTTAAAAGTCAAAATATGTGTCTTCCTCTACTCGGATCAAACTGTCAATTTTTTTCTACACTTTTAGGTGTATTTTGTGCAAGAAATTGCAATAAAATAGTCTGCCTAAGAAAAATTGAATTTTTTTGAACATTTTTTTTTTTGAAAAACGACTTAAAGGTCAAAATATGTGTCTTCCTCTACTCTGATCAAACTTTCAATTTTTTTCTACACTTTTAGGTGTATTTTGTGCAAGAAATTGCAATAAAATAGTCTGCCTAAGAAAAATTGAATTTTTTTGAAAATTTTTTTTTGACGATAAACGCTTTAATGTTGGTAATAGGTGTCTTCCTCTACTCGGATCGGGCTGTCAATTTTTTTCTACACTTTTAGGTGTATTTTGTGCAAGAAATTGCAATAAAATAGTCTGCCTAAGAAAAATTGAATTTTTTTGAAAATTTTTTTTTGACGATAAACGCTTTAATGTTGGTAATAGGTGTCTTCCTCTACTCGGATCGGGCTGTCAATTTTTTTCTACACTTTTAGGTGTATTTTGTGCAAGAAATTGCAATAAAATAGTCTGCCTAAGAAAAATTGAATTTTTTTGAAAATTTTTTTTTGACGATAAACGCTTTAATGTTGGTAATAGGTGTCTTCCTCTACTCGGATCGGGCTGTCAATTTTTTTCTACACTTTTAGGTGTATTTTGTGCAAGAAATTGCAATAAAATAGTCTGCCTAAGAAAAATTGAATTTTTTTGAAAATTTTTTTTTTTGAAAAACGACTTAAAAGTCAAAATATGTGTCTTCCTCTACTCGGATCGGGCTGTCAATTTTTTTCTACACTTTTAGGTGTATTTTGTGCAAGAAATTGCAATAAAATAGTCTGCCTAAGAAAAATTGAATTTTTTTGAAAATTTTTTTTTTTGAAAAACGACTTAAAGGTCAAAATATATGTCTTCCTCTACTCGGATCAGGCTGTCAATTTTTTTCTACACTTTTAGGTGTATTTTGTGCAAGAAATTGCAATAAAATAGTCAGCCTAAGAAAAATTGAATTTTTTTGAAAATTTTTTTTTGACGATAAACGACTTAAGGTCAAAATATGTGTCTTCCTCTACTCGGATCGGGCTGTCAATTTTTTTCTACACTTTTAGGTGTAGTTTGTGCAAGAAATTGCAATAAAATAGTTTGCCTAAGAAAAATTGAATTTTTTTGAAAATTTTTTTTTTTGAAAAACGACTTAAAAGTCAAAATATGTGTCTTCCTCTACTCGGATCGGGCTGTCAATTTTTTTTACACTTTTAGGTGTATTTTGTGCAAGAAATTGCAATAAAATAGTCTGCCTAAGAAAAATTGAATTTTTTTGAACATTTTTTTTTTTGAAAAACGACTTAAAAGTCAAAATATGTGTCTTCCTCTACTCGGATCGGGCTGTCAATTTTTTTCTACACTTTTAGGTGTATTTTGTGCAAGAAATTGCAATAAAATAGTCTGCCTAAGAAAAATTGAATTTTTTTGAACATTTTTTTTTTTGAAAAACGATTTAATGTTGGTAATAGGTGTCTTCCTCTACTCGGATCGGGCTGTCAATTTTTTTCTACACTTTTAGGTGTATTTTGTGCAAGAAATTGCAATAAAATAGTCTGCCTAAGAAAAATTGAATTTTTTTGAAAATTTTTTTTTTTGAAAAACGACTTAAAAGTCAAAATATGTGTCTTCCTCTACTCGGATCGGGCTGTCAATTTTTTTCTACACTTTTAGGTGTATTTTGTGCAAGAAATTGCAATAAAATAGTCTGCCTAAGAAAAATTGAATTTTTTTGAAAATTTTTTTTTTTGAAAAACGACTTAAAAGTCAAAATATGTGTCTTCCTCTACTCGGATCGGGCTGTCAATTTTTTTCTACACTTTTAGGTGTATTTTGTGCAAGAAATTGCAATAAAATAGTCTGCCTAAGAAAAATTGAATTTTTTTGAAAATTTTTTTTTGACGATAAACGCTTTAATGTTGGTAATAGGTGTCTTCCTCTACTCGGATCGGGCTGTCAATTTTTTTCTACACTTTTAGGTGTATTTTGTGCAAGAAATTGCAATAAAATAGTCTGCCTAAGAAAAATTGAATTTTTTTGAAAATTTTTTTTTGACGATAAACGCTTTAATGTTGGTAATATGTGTCTTCCTCTACTCGGATCGGGCTGTCAATTTTTTTCTACACTTTTAGGTGTATTTTGTGCAAGAAATTGCAATAAAATAGTCTGCCTAAGAAAAATTGAATTTTTTTGAAAATTTTTTTTTGACGATAAACGCTTTAATGTTGGTAATAGGTGTCTTCCTCTACTCGGATGAGGCTGTCAATTTTTTTCTACACTTTTAGGTGTATTTTGTGCAAGAAATTGCAATAAAATAGTCTGCCTAAGAAAAATTTGAATTTTTAAAAAAATTTTTTTTTTTGAAAAATGACTTAAAGGTCAAAATATGTGTCTTCCTCTACTCGGATCAAACTGTCAATTTTTTTCTACACTTTTAGGTGTATTTTGTGCAAGAAATTGCAATAAAATAGTCTGCCTAAGAAAAATTGAATTTTTTTGAAAATTTTTTTTTGACGATAAACGCTTTAATGTTGGTAATAGGTGTCTTCCTCTACTCGGATCGGGCTGTCAATTTTTTTCTACACTTTTAGGTGTATTTTGTGCAAGAAATTGCAATAAAATAGTCTGCCTAAGAAAAATTGAATTTTTTTGAAAATTTTTTTTTTTGAAAAACGACTTAAAGGTCAAAATATGTGTCTTCCTCTACTCGGATCGGGCTGTCAATTTTTTTCTACACTTTTAGGTGTATTTTGTGCAAGAAATTGCAATAAAATAGTCTGCCTAAGAAAAATTGAATTTTTTTGAAAATTTTTTTTTTTGAAAAACGACTTAAAGGTCAAAATATGTGTCTTCCTCTACTCGGATCGGGCTGTCAATTTTTTTCTACACTTTTAGGTGTATTTTGTGCAAGAAATTGCAATAAAATAGTCTGCCTAAGAAAAATTGAATTTTTTTGAAAATTTTTTTTTTTGAAAAACGACTTAAAGGTCAAAATATGTGTCTTCCTCTACTCGGATCAGGCTGTCAATTTTTTTCTACACTTTTAGGTGTATTTTGTGCAAGAAATTGCAATAAAATAGTCTGCCTAAGAAAAATTGAATTTTTTTGAAAATTTTTTTTTGACGATAAACGCTTTAATGTTGGTAATAGGTGTCTTCCTCTACTCGGATCGGGCTGTCAATTTTTTTCTACACTTTTAGGTGTATTTTGTGCAAGAAATTGCAATAAAATAGTCTGCCTAAGAAAAATTGAATTTTTTTGAAAATTTTTTTTTTTGAAAAACGACTTAAAGGTCAAAATATATGTCTTCCTCTACTCGGATCAGGCTGTCAATTTTTTTCTACACTTTTAGGTGTATTTTGTGCAAGAAATTGCAATAAAATAGTCTGCCTAAGAAAAATTGAATTTTTTATGAAAAACGACTTAAAAGTCAAAATATGTGTCTTCCTCTACTCGGATCGGGCTGTCAATTTTTTTCTACACTTTTAGGTGTATTTTGTGCAAGAAATTGCAATAAAATAGTCTGCCTAAGAAAAATTGAATTTTTTTGAAAATTTTTTTTTTTAAAAACGACTTAAAGGTCAAAATATGTGTCTTCCTCTACTCGGATCAAACTGTCAATTTTTTTCTACACTTTTAGGTGTATTTTGTGCAAGAAATTGCAATAAAATAGTCTGCCTAAGAAAAATTGAATTTTTTTGAAAATTTTTTTTTTTGAAAAACGACTTAAAGGTCAAAATATATGTCTTCCTCTACTCGGATCAGGCTGTCAATTTTTTTCTACACTTTTAGGTGTATTTTGTGCAAGAAATTGCAATAAAATAGTCTGCCTAAGAAAAATTGAATTTTTTTGAAAATTTTTTTTTGACGATAAACGCTTTAATGTTGGTAATAGGTGTCTTCCTCTACTCGGATCGGGCTGTCAATTTTTTTCTACACTTTTAGGTGTATTTTGTGCAAGAAATTGCAATAAAATAGTCTGCCTAAGAAAAATTGAATTTTTTTGAAAATTTTTTTTTTTGAAAAACGACTTAAAGGTCAAAATATATGTCTTCCTCTACTCGGATCGGGCTGTCAATTTTTTTCTACACTTTTAGGTGTATTTTGTGCAAGAAATTGCAATAAAATAGTCTGCCTAAGAAAAATTGAATTTTTTTGAAAATTTTTTTTTGACGATAAACGCTTTAATGTTGGTAATAGGTGTCTTCCTCTACTCGGATCGGGCTGTCAATTTTTTTCTACACTTTTAGGTGTATTTTGTGCAAGAAATTGCAATAAAATAGTCTGCCTAAGAAAAATTGAATTTTTTTGAAAATTTTTTTTTTTGAAAAACGACTTAAAGATCAAAATATGTGTCTTCCTCTACTCGGATCAAACTGTCAATTTTTTTCTACACTTTTAGGTGTATTTTGTGCAAGAAATTGCAATAAAATAGTCTGCCTAAGAAAAATTGAATTTTTTTGAAAATTTTTTTTTGACGATAAACGACTTAAAGGTCAAAATATGTGTCTTCCTCTACTCGGATCGGGCTGTCAATTTTTTTCTACACTTTTAGGTGTATTTTGTGCAAGAAATTGCAATAAAATAGTCTGCCTAAGAAAAATTGAATTTTTTTGAAAATTTTTTTTTGACGATAAACGCTTTAATGTTGGTAATAGGTGTCTTCCTCTACTCGGATCGGGCTGTCAATTTTTTTCTACACTTTTAGGTGTATTTTGTGCATGAAATTGCAATAAAATAGTCTGCCTAAGAAAAATTTTTTTTTTTGAAAAACGACTTAAAAGTCAAAATATGTGTCTTCCTCTACTCGGATCGGGCTGTCAATTTTTTTCTACACTTTTAGGTGTATTTTGTGCAAGAAATTGCAATAAAATAGTCTGCCTAAGAAAAATTGAATTTTTTTGAAAATTTTTTTTTTTGAAAAACGACTTAAAAGTCAAAATATGTGTCTTCCTCTACTCGGATCGGGCTGTCAATTTTTTTCTACACTTTTAGGTGTATTTTGTGCAAGAAATTGCAATAAAATAGTCTGCCTAAGAAAAATTGAATTTTTTTGAAAATTTTTTTTTTTGAAAAACGACTTAAAGGTCAAAATATATGTCTTCCTCTACTCGGATGAGGCTCTCAATTTTTTTCTACACTTTTAGGTGTATTTTGTGCAAGAAATTGCAATAAAATAGTCTGCCTAAGAAAAATTGAATTTTTTTGAAAATTTTTTTTTTTGAAAAACGACTTAAAGGTCAAAATATGTGTCTTCCTCTACTCGGATCGGGCTGTCAATTTTTTTCTACACTTTTAGGTGTATTTTGTGCAAGAAATTGCAATAAAATAGTCTGCCTAAGAAAAATTGAATTTTTTTGAAAATTTTTTTTTTTTGAAAAACGACTTAAAGGTCAAAATATATGTCTTCCTCTACTCGGATCGGGCTGTCAATTTTTTTCTACACTTTTAGGTGTATTTTGTGCAAGAAATTGCAATAAAATAGTCTGCCTAAGAAAAATTGAATTTTTTTGAAAATTTTTTTTTGACGATAAACGACTTAAAGGTCAAAATATGTGTCTTCCTCTACTCGGATCGGGCTGTCAATTTTTTTCTACACTTTTAGGTGTATTTTGTGCAAGAAATTGCAATAAAATAGTCTGCCTAAGAAAAATTGAATTTTTTTGAAAATTTTTTTTTTTGAAAAACGACTTAAAGGTCAAAATATGTGTCTTCCTCTACTCGGATCGGGCTGTCAATTTTTTTCTACACTTTTAGGTGTATTTTGTGCAAGAAATTGCAATAAAATAGTCTGCCTAAGAAAAATTGAATTTTTTTGAAAATTTTTTTTTGACGATAAACGCTTTAATGTTGGTAATAGGTGTCTTCCTCTACTCGGATCGGGCTGTCAATTTTTTTCTACACTTTTAGGTGTATTTTGTGCAAGAAATTGCAATAAAATAGTCTGCCTAAGAAAAATTGAATTTTTTTGAAAATTTTTTTTTTTGAATAACGACTTAAAGGTCAAAATATGTGTCTTCCTCTACTCGGATCAGGCTGTCAATTTTTTTCTACACTTTTAGGTGTATTTTGTGCAAGAAATTGCAATAAAATAGTCTGCCTAAGAAAAATTGAATTTTTTTGAAAATTTTTTTTTTTGAAAAACGACTTAAAGGTCAAAATATGTGTCTTCCTCTACTCGGATCAAACTGTCAATTTTTTTCTACACTTTTAGGTGTATTTTGTGCAAGAAATTGCAATAAAATAGTCTGCCTAAGAAAAATTGAATTTTTTTGAAAATTTTTTTTTTTGAAAAACGACTTAAAGGTCAAAATATATGTCTTCCTCTACTCGGATCAGGCTGTCAATTTTTTTCTACACTTTTAGGTGTATTTTGTGCAAGAAATTGCAATAAAATAGTCTGCCTAAGAAAAATTGAATTTTTATGAAAAACGACTTAAAAGTCAAAATATGTGTCTTCCTCTACTCGGATCGGGCTGTCAATTTTTTTCTACACTTTTAGGTGTATTTTGTGCAAGAAATTGCAATAAAATAGTCTGCCTAAGAAAAATTGAATTTTTTTGAAAATTTTTTTTTTTTGAAAAACGACTTAAAAGTCAAAATATGTGTCTTCCTCTACTCGGATCGGGCTGTCAATTTTTTTCTACACTTTTAGGTGTATTTTGTGCAAGAAATTGCAATAAAATAGTCTGCCTAAGAAAAATTGAATTTTTTTGAAAATTTTTTTTTTGAAAAACGACTTAAAGGTCAAAATATGTGTCTTCCTCTACTCGGATCAGGCTGTCAATTTTTTTCTACACTTTAAGGTGTATTTTGTGCAAGAAATTGCAATAAAATAGTCTGCCTAAGAAAAATTGAATTTTTATGAAAAACGACTTAAAAGTCAAAATATGTGTCTTCCTCTACTCGGATCGGGCTGTCAATTTTTTTCTACACTTTTAGGTGTATTTTGTGCAAGAAATTGCAATAAAATAGTCTGCCTAAGAAAAATTGAATTTTTTTGAAAATTTTTTTTTTTGAAAAACGACTTAAAGGTCAAATCATGTGTCTTCCTCTACTCGGATCAGGCTGTCAAATTTTTTCTACACTTTTAAGTGTAGTTTGTGCAAGAAATTGCAATAAAATAGTCTGCCTAAGAAAAATTGAATTTTTTTGAAAATTTTTTTTTTTGAAAAACGACTTAAAGGTCAAATCATGTGTCTTCCTCTACTCGGATCATGCTGTCAATTTTTTTCTACACTTTTAGGTGTAGTTTGTGCAAGAAATTGCAATAAAATAGTCTGCCTAAGAAAAATTGAATTTTTTTGGAAATTTTTTTTTTCGAAGAACGACTTAAAAGTCAAAATATGTGTCTTCCTCTATTCGGATCAAACTGTCAATTTTTTTCTACACTTTTAGGTGTATTTTGTGCAAGAAATTGCAATAAAATAGTCTGCCTAAGAAAAATTGAATTTTTTTGAAAATTTTTTTTTGACGATAAACGCTTTAATGTTGGTAATATGTGTCTTCCTCTACTCGGATCGGGCTGTCAATTTTTTTCTACACTTTTAGGTGTATTTTGTGCAAGAAATTGCAATAAAATAGTCTGCCTAAGAAAAATTGAATTTTTTTGAAAATTTTTTTTTTTGAAAAACGACTTAAAGGTCAAAATATGTGTCTTCCTCTACTCGGATCGGGCTGTCAATTTTTTTCTACACTTTTAGGTGTATTTTGTGCAAGAAATTGCAATAAAATAGTCTGCCTAAGAAAAATTGAATTTTTTTGAAAATTTTTTTTTGACGATAAACGCTTTAATGTTGGTAATAGGTGTCTTCCTCTACTCGGATCGGGCTGTCAATTTTTTTCTACACTTTTAGGTGTATTTTGTGCAAGAAATTGCAATAAAATAGTCTGCCTAAGAAAAATTGAATTTTTTTGAAAATTTTTTTTTTTGAAAAACGACTTAAAGGTCAAAATATGTGTCTTCCTCTACTCGGATCAAACTGTCAATTTTTTTCTACACTTTTAGGTGTATTTTGTGCAAGAAATTGCAATAAAATAGTCTGCCTAAGAAAAATTGAATTTTTTTGAAAATTTTTTTTTTTGAAAAACGACTTAAAGGTCAAAATATGTGTCTTCCTCTACTCGGATCAAACTGTCAATTTTTTTCTACACTTTTAGGTGTATTTTGTGCAAGAAATTGCAATAAAATAGTCTGCCTAAGAAAAATTGAATTTTTTTGAAAATTTTTTTTTTTGAAAAACGACTTAAAGGTCAAAATATATGTCTTCCTCTACTCGGATCAGGCTGTCAATTTTTTTTTACACTTTAAGGTGTATTTTGTGCAAGAAATTGCAATAAAATAGTCTGCCTAAGAAAAATTGAATTTTTATGAAAAACGACTTAAAAGTCAAAATATGTGTCTTCCTCTACTCGGATCGGGCTGTCAATTTTTTTCTACACTTTTAGGTGTATTTTGTGCAAGAAATTGCAATAAAATAGTCTGCCTAAGAAAAATTGAATTTTTTTGAAAATTTTTTTTTTTGAAAAACGACTTAAAGGTCAAATCATGTGTCTTCCTCTACTCGGATCATGCTGTCAATTTTTTTCTACACTTTTAGGTGTAGTTTGTGCAAGAAATTGCAATAAAATAGTCTGCCTAAGAAAAATTGAATTTTTTTGGAAATTTTTTTTTTCGAAGAACGACTTAAAAGTCAAAATATGTGTCTTCCTCTATTCGGATCAAACTGTCAATTTTTTTCTACACTTTTAGGTGTATTTTGTGCAAGAAATTGCAATAAAATAGTCTGCCTAAGAAAAATTGAATTTTTTTGAAAATTTTTTTTTGACGATAAACGCTTTAATGTTGGTAATATGTGTCTTCCTCTACTCGGATCGGGCTGTCAATTTTTTTCTACACTTTTAGGTGTATTTTGTGCAAGAAATTGCAATAAAATATTATGCCTAAGAGAAATTGAATTTTTTTGAAAATTTTTTTTTTCGAAAAACGACTTAAAGGTCAAAATATGTGTCTTCCTCTACTCGGATCAAACTGTCAATTTTTTTCTACACTTTTAGGTGTATTTTGTGCAAGAAATTGCAATAAAATAGTCTGCCTAAGAAAAATTGAATTTTTTTGAAAATTTTTTTTTTTGAAAAACGACTTAAAAGTCAAAATATGTGTCTTCCTCTACTCGGATCGGGCTGTCAATTTTTTTCTACACTTTTAGGTGTATTTTGTGCAAGAAATTGCAATAAAATAGTCTGCCTAAGAAAAATTGAATTTTTTTGAAAATTTTTTTTTTTGAAAAACGACTTAAAGGTCAAAATATATGTCTTCCTCTACTCGGATGAGGCTCTCAATTTTTTTCTACACTTTTAGGTGTATTTTGTGCAAGAAATTGCAATAAAATAGTCTGCCTAAGAAAAATTGAATTTTTTTGAAAATTTTTTTTTTTGAAAAACGACTTAAAGGTCAAAATATGTGTCTTCCTCTACTCGGATCGGGCTGTCAATTTTTTTCTACACTTTTAGGTGTATTTTGTGCAAGAAATTGCAATAAAATAGTCTGCCTAAGAAAAATTGAATTTTTTTGAAAAACGACTTAAAGGTCAAAATATGTGTCTTCCTCTACTCGGATCAAACTGTCAATTTTTTTCTACACTTTTAGGTGTATTTTGTGCAAGAAATTGCAATAAAATAGTCTGCCTAAGAAAAATTGAATTTTTTTGAAAATTTTTTTTTTGAAAAACGACTTAAAGGTCAAAATATGTGTCTTCCTCTACTCGGATCAAACTGTCAATTTTTTTCTACACTTTTAGGTGTATTTTGTGCAAGAAATTGCAATAAAATAGTCTGCCTAAGAAAAATTGAATTTTTTTGAAAATTTTTTTTTTGAAAAACGACTTAAAAGTCAAAATATGTGTCTTCCTCTACTCGGATCGGGCTGTCAATTTTTTTCTACACTTTTAGGTGTATTTTGTGCAAGAAATTGCAATAAAATAGTCTGCCTAAGAAAAATTGAATTTTTTTGAAAATTTTTTTTTTTGAAAAACGACTTAAAGGTCAAAATATATGTCTTCCTCTACTCGGATGAGGCTGTCAATTTTTTTCTACACTTTTAGGTGTATTTTGTGCAAGAAATTGCAATAAAATAGTCTGCCTAAGAAAAATTGAATTTTTTTGAAAATTTTTTTTTTTGAAAAACGACTTAAAGGTCAAAATATGTGTCTTCCTCTACTCGGATCGGGCTGTCAATTTTTTTCTACACTTTTAGGTGTATTTTGTGCAAGAAATTGCAATAAAATAGTCTGCCTAAGAAAAATTGAATTTTTTTGAAAATTTTTTTTTTTGAAAAACGACTTGAAGGTCAAAATATGTGTCTTCCTCTACTCGGATCGGGCTGTCAATTTTTTTCTACACTTTTAGGTGTATTTTGTGCAAGAAATTGCAATAAAATAGTCTGCCTAAGAAAAATTGAATTTTTTTGAAAATTTTTTTTTTTGAATAACGACTTAAAGGTTAAAATATGTGTCTTCCTCTACTCGGATCAAACTGTCAATTTTTTTCTACACTTTTAGGTGTATTTTGTGCAAGAAATTGCAATAAAATAGTCTGCCTAAGAAAAATTGAATTTTTTTGAAAATTTTTTTTTTGAAAAACGACTTAAAGGTCAAAATATGTGTCTTCCTCTACTCGGATCAAACTGTCAATTTTTTTCTACACTTTTAGGTGTATTTTGTGCAAGAAATTGCAATAAAATAGTCTGCCTAAGAAAAATTGAATTTTTTTGAAAATTTTTTTTTTTGAAAAACGACTTAAAGGTCAAAATATATGTCTTCCTCTACTCGGATCAGGCTGTCAATTTTTTTTTACACTTTAAGGTGTATTTTGTGCAAGAAATTGCAATAAAATAGTCTGCCTAAGAAAAATTGAATTTTTATGAAAAACGACTTAAAAGTCAAAATATGTGTCTTCCTCTACTCGGATCGGGCTGTCAATTTTTTTCTACACTTTTAGGTGTATTTTGTGCAAGAAATTGCAATAAAATAGTCTGCCTAAGAAAAATTGAATTTTTTTGAAAATTTTTTTTTTTGAAAAACGACTTAAAAGTCAAAATATGTGTCTTCCTCTACTCGGATCGGGCTGTCAATTTTTTTCTACACTTTTAGGTGTATTTTGTGCAAGAAATTGCAATAAAATAGTCTGCCTAAGAAAAATTGAATTTTTTTGAAAATTTTTTTTTTTGAAAAACGACTTAAAAGTCAAAATATGTGTCTTCCTCTACTCGGATCGGGCTGTCAATTTTTTTCTACACTTTTAGGTGTATTTTGTGCAAGAAATTGCAATAAAATAGTCTGCCTAAGAAAAATTGAATTTTTTTGAAAATTTTTTTTTTTGAAAAACGACTTAAAGGTCAAATCATGTGTCTTCCTCTACTCGGATCAGGCTGTCAATTTTTTTCTACACTTTTAGGTGTATTTTGTGCAAGAAATTGCAATAAAATAGTCTGCCTAAGAAAAATTTGAATTTATAAAAAAAATTTTTTTTTTGAAAAACGACTTAAAGGTCAAAATATGTGTCTTCCTCTACTCGGATCAGGCTGTCAATTTTTTTCTACACTTTTAGGTGTATTTTGTGCAAGAAATTGCAATAAAATAGTTTGCCTAAGAAAAATTGAATTTTTTTGAAAATTTTTTTTTTTTGAAAAACGACTTAAAGGTCAAAATATATGTCTTCCTCTACTCGGATGAGGCTGTCAATTTTTTTCTACACTTTTAGGTGTATTTTGTGCAAGAAATTGCAATAAAATAGTCTGCCTAAGAAAAATTGAATTTTTTTGAAAATTTTTTTTTTTGAAAAACGACTTAAAAGTCAAAATATGTGTCTTCCTCTACTCGGATCGGGCTGTCAATTTTTTTCTACACTTTTAGGTGTATTTTGTGCAAGAAATTGCAATAAAATAGTCTGCCTAAGAAAAATTGAATTTTTTTGAAAATTTTTTTTTGACGATAAACGACTTAAAGGTCAAAATATGTGTCTTCCTCTACTCGGATCGGGCTGTCAATTTTTTTCTACACTTTTAGGTGTAGTTTGTGCAAGAAATTGCAATAAAATAGTCTGCCTAAGAAAAATTGAATTTTTTTGAAAATTTTTTTTTTTGAAAAACGACTTAAAGGTCAAATCATGTGTCTTCCTCTACTCGGATCATGCTGTCAATTTTTTTCTACACTTGTAGGTGTAGTTTGTGCAAGAAATTGCAATAAAATAGTCTGCCTAAGAAAAAATGAATTTATTTGAACAGTTTTTTTTTTGAAAAACGACTTAAAGGTCAAAATATGTGTCTTCCTCTACTCGGATCGGGCTGTCAATTTTTTTCTACAATTTTAGGTGTAGTTTGTGCAAGAAATTGCAATAAAATAGTCCGCCTAAGAAAAATTGAATTTTTTTGGAAATTTTTTTTTTCGAAGAACGACTTAAAAGTCAAAATATGTGTCTTCCTCTATTCGGATCAAACTGTCAATTTTTTTCTACACTTTTAGGTGTATTTTGTGCAAGAAATTGCAATAAAATAGTCTGCCTAAGAAAAATTGAATTTTTTTACAAATTTTTTTTTGACGATAAACGCTTTAATGTTGGTAATAGGTGTCTTCCTCTACTCGGATCGGGCTGTCAATTTTTTTCTACACTTTTAGGTGTATTTTGTGCAAGAAATTGCAATAAAATATTATGCCTAAGAAAAATTGAATTTTTTTGAAAATTTTTTTTTTCGAAAAACGACTTAAAGGTCAAATCATGTGTCTTCCTCTACTCGGATCATGCTGTCAATTTTTTTCTACACTTTTAGGTGTATTTTGTGCAAGAAATTGCAATAAAATAGTCTGCCTAAGAAAAATTGAATTTTTTTTAAAATTTTTTTTTGACGATAAACGCTTTAATGTTGGTAATAGGTGTCTTCCTCTACTCGGATCGGGCTGTCAATTTTTTTCTACACTTTTAGGTGTATTTTGTGCAAGAAATTGCAATAAAATAGTCTGCCTAAGAAAAATTTGAATTTGTAAAAAAATTTTTCTTTTTGAAAAACGACTTAAAGGTCAAACTATGTGTCTTCCTCTACTCGGATCGGGCTGTCAATTTTTTTCTACACTTTTAGGTGTATTTTGTGCAAGAAATTGCAATAAAATAGTCCGCCTAAGAAAAATTGACTTTTTTTGAAAATTTATTTTTTTCGAATAAATTTCATATATGCATTCTGGATAAAAATGAGCCCGTATAACCCATTTTTATAAAATCGGAAATGGTCACAAATACAAAGCTTTCTCGAGAGGAGAAAAATAAAATTTTTAATTGTATCGCATAAAAAATATTTTTAAAATTCTTCATGCAGTTTTTTTTCTACGTTATAATATATAGGCAGAACTATAAAATATAAAAATATATAAATGAAAATAAAATTTACTAATCTTTTAATCAATTTCATTTTCATTTAATAAAAATAATGATAATTTATTAAAATTCTTTAAATTATATTTAAAGAGGTTCAACACATTAACATAACCTCAAACTAAAAAGTAATTTTTAACAGAACTAAAAATATATATTTAAAATTTATTACACCCTAATTCGACAGATCTAATTGTACAATTTTGGAAAAAAATTATCTTCAGTTAACATTTGTTGTTAAATAATAATTAATCAACATTTTGTATTTTTTTCTTTAAAGTTAGTGAACAATTGTAATTTTTATGCAATTCTTACAAACAATATCTCATTTTGCTATTTAAAAGATTCTTTACAATTGTGATTTTGTGTTTTTGTTAAATAATGGTTTTGTTTAAAAAATATAAAAACTAAAAATTTTATATTTGTTTATTAACTTTTGAAAAAAATATTTTTAATAAAATTCAACAAACAGTTTTGTAGAAAATCTTTTTAAAGAGCAAAATGAGCTATTGTTTGTAAGAATTGCATAAAAATTACAATTGTTCACTAACTTTTAAGAAAAAATACAAAATATTTATTAATTATTATTTAACAAGAAATTTTTTTTCCAAAATTGTACAATTGGATTTATCAAATTTGAGTGTAATAAATTTTAAATATATTTTTAGTTCTTTTAAAAACTACTTTTTAGTTTGAGGTTATGTTAATGGGATGAACCTCCTTAAATAATCTTGTTTGTATTATATTATACTATTGTTTTGTCAAAACGAAATATATTTAAAAATGTTTTAATAATTTTAATATATTCGGGATCTGACTGTAATTATAAAATAAAAAATATTACCGTGGACACCCTTCGCCCATACCCGATCTCCATCCCGGAGTGGCACTAAAAACACTCACTCGCGATTTAAAAATTTACGAACACTCCCGAACCACGTGTTCACTGTAATCAAAACTCATTTAATTTTTACTTATACGATCGCGGTTTTAAATATTACAAACACTCCCGGTACTAATAAAATTATTTTCAATTAAAATTAACTAAATAAAAATTTATTCACAGAGAAGTAAATTTAAAAAAAAAAATTAATATATTAAGTACTCGATCGCGGATTTACAAAGTACGAGCACTCCCGAAAGATAAAAATTCATTTATCTAAAAATTTAAAAATTAAAAGATTTCACGAACACGTGGTCTTATAGGGCCAAACACGACGTGCGAAAGTACTTTTCGAATTTGTATAGGGATATGTCTGACCGACACAGACTGACGCTACTGCCCACGCAGCACATAATATTTCCAAAATATTTCAATGAAAAGTTCTTGAAATATTGTCGCATACAGGAAAATGTCCGCCTATGAGGAAATATTGCCATGCAATTTTCTGAAATATTACACATGAAAACTCCAGCAATATTTAAGAAATATTTCATAGAAAGTTAGAATTTTTAAAAAATATAAAAACCAATCGGTATTAAAGTTGAAAATTTCCAAAATATTCTAATGAAATATTTCCACAAGTATTTTGTATCAATATTTCCTCAATGGCGGACATTTTCCTGTTTGCAACAATATTTCAAAAATATTTAGAAAACAATATTTGCTGTGTGAGTGTAGTGATCTCCCATCACTGGGAAATTGGTGAAGGATACAATGAATTTGTAAACACGTGGTCGCACGAAAAGTAGACGCGCTAGGATGATTTTGATTTTTCCACCAATCACATGAAGACAAAATATCAGCGAGACAGAGAGAGAGAGAGAGAGTAGACAAGGGATCTGTCTTTTATCTTTCCTATTTAATATTAATTTAAATATTAAAATATATATTTTATAGATATAAAAATGTAAAAATTTTGCAAAAAAGGATAATTTTCTATTTTTAAATACAATAAATATTTAAATAATAATATATTGATGGGAAATGTACAAAATTTTATCCCCACCATTTAAAATTTTGAGAGTGATTATAAAAGAGAATAAAATTATTAAATTATATAGTGTACGTAAATAAACATTTTTTAATTGTTTACAATTTTTAATTATGAAACATAAAATTTTCCACTCTATTTGCAAAAAAATAATAAAATATTAATTAAATGTAGTTTATGTGTTTTTTTATCTGGCCTTATATCTTCATTTATAAATAATAAAATATTCCAAAAGGCAAAGTTATGTGCTGCCATCTGTTGTATATAGCGCGCGACTCGTATTATACCGCTGTCACATTTAATTTCACAACACGGGTATGACAAAAAAAATTTTGAATTTGTTTAGAAGACACGGCGATTTTTTTTAAACAAATTAAATTGTATTGCATGATAATACTTTCGTTTATATAATTTGTTTAAAAAAAACATTTAACTTTTTTCCGATTTTTTTATTTTTCAGAATAAAATTATTTTAATTTGCTTTTTTATGAGTTTACTAAAAGATCCTAGTGTCAAAACCACTTTTCATTTCAAAAAATAAAAAAAAAACGAAAAAAAAATTAAATTTTTTTAAAAAATAAATTATTTTTAAACAAAAGAATCATCATTCCCACTCCAAAACTTATTACAAAATTAAATTAAATTTTTTTTGGAAATTTCGCTCAATATAAATTTTATTAAAAGTAATGAACGGTATTTGAAATTTTTTTTTACAAAATCTTCAAAAATACCAAGGATGTTTATCTTATAAATTTCTTAAATCAGAAAGATTCTGTAAATTCATGCAAAAACGCGATTGCAAAAGGAAAAGTAATAATAATGACCGGTTTATTACGTCCTGTCGCCGTCAGATGGCAGAAGCATGCAGGAATTGATTTTTATCATTTTTATAAAAAAAATGTTATAAACATTCACACTTTACAGTTATTTTTGGACAAAAAAATTTTTCTTTTTGTAAATTTACTTTGGATGTTTGCGCTTAAATTTCCTGTCCATTAAACAATTGTTTTGCGATAAAAATCCTCACTTCAATCCATATAAAATTTATATAAACAAATACATTGTTTCGAAATTTTTGGTCAGAAATTAATCGAATTTTTATTCTGTTTAAAAAGTTAATTTGTGATAAAATATTCAATTCAAATATTAAATATTCAAAAGAAAAATAAGGAGAGATAACAACAATATAGAGTCGACTGGAAGTCTAGTCATAATAAACCATTTATGACACCCTATTGTATTAGTTGTCCTTCTATACCTGAATATTGAAATAATATAGTAATATTACTTACGTTTATATCGTTACTTCCTGCCGCCGTCAGATGGCAGAAGTATGCAGGGAGCCCAAATCGTAGCTACATATTATTATATTTTTTTTCCTACTTATTTCGTTTTGCAATCTCGTTTTTGTATGGATTCGCGCAATCTTTCGAATTTAAAAAATTTATAAAATAATGATCCTTGGTATGTTGACCGATTTTGTAAAAAGTGTCTGTGTTTCAAGATAAAAGTATTTTAAAATCAATGCGCATCATTTACACTTCAATGCCGTTTTTATAGGGAGGTAATTAGATATATTCCTTGCCAAAAAATTTCAGATACTGTTCAACACTCTTAAATGAAAATAAGTTATATAAAAGTTTTTCAATTATTATTAGCTAGAAATTATATTTTTATTGACACAATTAATATAATTTAAAAAAACCGATATTTTAAAAATTTTAGAACAAATTGTTCTTTATAGAAAAAATTTCTCTCTTGCAAGTCGTTCGCCTTTTTCCTTGAATACTTTTTGGAAGATAACTTGTCAGAGATAAATGAATAATTCAGTATATTCGCAAAGAATTTCGATTCTTTTATTTTGAAAACGTACCAATATACAAAACGACCAATATATATGTTGCAAAATTGAAAAGCGTATTCTTTTTATATGTAGTAACATCACATAGACTAGAAATTAAAATAAATTGAATGAATGTAGCGTATTTAAATAATCTCAATTATGGTTTAAATATCATAGAATTTCTGTTGGAAAAGGATAAGACGTATAGATGAACAGAATTATGGTATTAAATAAATTGAATGTTTGAATTACATAATTATTTACTGGAAAATATCATTTTGTCAATTAAAGATGTATTAAGCCCGTAAGGGTCAAATTTTTTTTTAAAAAACCACGATTTTTGATTGTTAAACTTTTTTAGCAAAACTATTAACTATATGAAAATTTTAGGTTTATATTTTTCGAAAAGATAACTCCCGTAAAAACAACGTTTTTGGCCCTTTTATTTAAAATATTGACAACTGAAAAAAATTGAAACCTTATTCTCAAAAATTGAGAAACCATAACTAAAAATATGTCTCTGTTTTCGAGATTTCAGCCTACTACACCCAGAGAAATGATATATTTGTCTCACAGCCTAATAAATATTTATTTGATTCAAATAAATTTTTATTTACGCCAAATAAATAGGCTTGTAGGCGGTGAGACAAATATACGTTTATTTAACTCAAAAGTATTATATTTGGTTCAAATAGAACATTTCTCTGCGTTTAGCAATAAAAATTGTCTGGGTCCCAAAACTATAATATCATTCTTATTCTTTAAATAATTAACAATCAAATAAAATTACGAGTGGGTTTTTTGTGTAATTTTAATTTTTATTCATTAAAATGGCCGACATTTTGTTTTTTTAAAACATTTTTTAATTTTTACAACGTACTTTGAAGAAAAAAAATGAAAGCTCTTTCAAATGCAAAAAGAAAAAATAAGACATCTAAATTACTTTAAAAATTATAACACTTTAATTTTTTTCCTCTAAATTTTAGATAAATATAACGATTCAGCCTGCCTGATTTGAAATGAATTTGGTCTAAAAAGAAATTTATTTTTAATACTTTCTTATATTTTATATCAAAATTTTATTCAAATAATCAAATATTTAATTTCCATTTTTAGGTTAAGTTTGCGAAATCGAATTCGTTATACTTCCCCTGCCGAATTGGGTAAACCGAGTTGTAACCGAATTGGGTTACGATTCGGTTACGTTTCGGTTTCTTGTAAAATATTGTCGTTAATCGACGAAATATGTTGTAAATAACTATTAGGAATGGTTAATAGACATATAGAGTGATTATTTATGCAATAATAAGAATAAATTAAGATATAATTAATTAATAATAAGTGTTTTAAGTGTACAGTGGATGCAGTTGTTGAGTTACCATATATGTATAATATAATAATGGAAAGGTTGACTGAATTATATCACAAGATATATTTGAAAACACGAGATCTAAACATATACTATTAGAATTTCTGACGAAGTTGACCTGAGAGAGATTAAAAAATTCTGAGAATAAATGTAAAGATTTAACTCTTTTGTCTCTAATTAGTTCGTTAGAATCATGATCAACAAAATTTGCAAAACGTTAAAATCTCCCAAGAATAATACTTTATTAGAAAAAATGTGAAATTGTGATTTGAGAAATTTAAAAATTTTTAAATACGTCTGTAAGAGCAGGTTTGGCGGTATATATAAGATGAAAATGTTAAAATTAATTTTGTTATGAAATAAGCGCAGACACCATGCTCAATACCAGAACCGACTATGCCGACTATAATATAACTTTTACCAAATGAGTAAAAAAATTATTTAAATCTTTTTTTGTTTTAATTACTTATAAAGATGCACATTTAAACAATTATTAATTTAATTATTTGAGATCAAATTTTTTTCCGTGCAGAAACTGAAACATTTTTAAGATTTCCATTGGCTCCAATTTTGGGGGGCAAAGTATCTTGAAAATACACGTAATTTTGGTCACCGAAATTGATACACCGAAACTGATACAAGGTGTATTTTGTGCAAGAATTTGCAATAAAATAGTCTGCCTAAGAAAAATTGAATTTTTTGTTGATTTTGTTATGACGAAAAGTGCTTTAATGGTCATAATATGTGTCTTTCTCTACGCGGATCGGGCTGTCAATTTTTTTCTACACTTTTAGGTGTATTTTGTGCAAGAAATTGCAATAAAATAGTCTGCCTAAGAAGACGGTAAAAGCGAACCTTAAGTCAAAAGCACGTTAGGTCCCTTCTCTCGTGGAGCATCACATAATGTGAACTAGTGCAGCTTCTCGAAAATGGGACATGGAGGAATATATTATATTCCTCCATGTCCCATTTTCGAGAAGCTGCACTTGTTTTTGATTCAACATTATTGAATAAAAATTAATATTTACTTACTAATACATCACTGCGTTTAACTGACTTTTAAACTGACGTCACGCCGCAATGCCGGTCGGCTACGGGGTTTACACGCACGGACTTGCTAATCCTTAGCTGTGGCAGCTAAGCACAGCTAATTGATTTCAGCTAATGCATATTTGCCGCTACAGATAAATCATTTTTCTTTGTGTATTTGTATGGTTAAAGCAAATGAGTCGGCTGTGGGCTCATTATATAGCGACGTTTTCATCACGTCATGTCAAAATTTTGTCACACGATTTTTCAAAAAGTACCAAAAACGCTGTTTTAAGGAGTTTCAACCCTATTTTTCTCAAAAACCTGACGTAATGGAATATTTTGGACAACGGATTTATGTTTAGCGCAAAAATTTCCTTCGGAAACACATAGTCGTATTCATTTTGCCAAAAAAAAAGTTTAAATATACAGACTTGTGAAATATAGTTTGTTAAAGTTATGTGATTGTTGTTATTTTACATTTAAATATTGATTTCTCATGCAAACAAAGTTTTATTTATTGAAAATATTTGTTTATATTAAAATAACAAAAGTATAACAAAAATTTAATTTTTTTCTATACAAATTATCTCACTTAACAATATTTTTACAATATATAAACCTTTGACATTTTTGAAAACTCAAAAATATATTTTCAGAATACTTCAATAACTAACAGTTTTCAAATTTATAAAGATTTGTAATATTTAGAAAAACTTTTCCAATAGTTAAAAAAAACACATATAATATACTGATAAATAAAAATTCGTTTTATAAATCTTTTAAATTACTTTTTGTGCAATAATACTCATCTTCTAAAGTCTTATATGTATATTATATATATTATATAAAAATTTGACTTTTGTATAAGGAATACATATTAAATGTGTGTAAATATAGGTGTGCATATAAGTACGCTGAAAAAATGTTACACTCATTAAAAGTCAGTTTTTGGACGTTTCTCAATATAAGCCTTGATGGAAGGATGATTTACAACTGTTTGCCTCAGTTTTTGCATTGCTGGGTAATTCTTATTTATGTCGTGACCAAGAACCATACTCAAATAATCGCAGAATGCACAGTAGAGTAGATCAGCCCATGACATCTAATGAATATAAAAATGTTACATAATTAGTTAAATCCTATTGGAAATTACATTAAAAATTTCTTACAATTATCTACGTAGGATAATTTGTTTATATTTTTTTTCATATATTAATTATTTATATTTGCTATTATAAAAACCAATTTTTTAATCTTTATATTATTGTAAAAATTAAAAAATGAGATGTTTTGAGAATTTTTAATATTTCAAACGTGTGTGACGTAGCATATTACACATGCCCTTAAAAAATCTTTAAATTATGCAAATATTCACCTTTCCTCCAACAAAGAATCCTCCATTTTTCTTAACTTTTTCTTCAAATAATTTCATGGTCTTCTCATACTTTTCCATTGCTTTTTCCTTCATAACAGCCTTGAAATTTGGATCTTTCTCCCAATAATAGTGAGATAACGCTGCAAAATATTTAACAAACTCTTAATTAAACTGAAAAAGAATTAAGGTTGTGTTATTGTTGTAATTTTCCGCATTCTCCACAGGTTTTCTTGAAAAATATTTTATATATTGAGTTAAATTTTTGTGGAGAAGTCAAAAATAGTATAAAGATTCGCCCGGATAGCACGTAAGCTTCAAATGTCCCAACCGAACCTAAGTTTGCATGGTAAGCTTACCGAAAAATTGCAGTGTAAGGTTACTGCAAGATTGCACCTTAAGATTATCGCAATATTGATCGGTAAGCTTGTACTAGAGACTTGTCATTGGAGTCAAATTAAAGCTTGAACCCTGTACTTTACGACGATATAGCGATATTGACAACAACAAAATAAATTAGCTGTCAAAAATGGTTTCTTTAAGTTGTCAAGCATAAAAATTGACTTACAACTGTTCGTAAATACAACTATTTTTAAAAATACTTGAATTCGCTTGGAATTCGTCACTCGGGCGTTTTTGGAGTCGCGGATTACAGATATGATGTTTTTTTCAAAATTCAAAATGGCGGACGACTTTTTTAAAAATCGATTCAATCCGACATATTAGATCCGCCATTTTGAATTTTGAAAAAACATCATATCCGTAATCCGCGACTCCAAAAACGTCCGAGTGACGGATTCCAAGCGAATCCCAGTATTTTTAAAAATAGTTGTATTTACGAACAGTTGTAAGTCAATTTTTATGCTTGACAACTTAAAAAACCCATTTTTGACAGCTAATTTATTTTGTTGTTGTCAATATCGCTGTATCGTCGTAAAGTACAGGGTTCAAGCTTTAATTTGACTCCTATGACATGTCTCTAGTACGTCGGATTTACCTGGTAGAAATGTTTAAAAACTGACAAAAAAGTGATTTTTGGGACTTTTATCCCCACTTTTCTCAAAATCCTGACGTGATGGGAGGTTTTCATTGCCAGATTTGGAATTTACTTTTTGAATAGAAACTTTTGAATGTCGCCCATTTCAAAAGAAATCAGGGTAAATGTCCCAATTACTGTGATGTAAAACCCAAGACCAACTTTAATGATAAAATAATAAAAGTGTTAATGAAATAATGATTTAATTGTTTTTGTTAAATCTCTATTAGTGTCTATTAAAATAGAAACGATACTTTAAACTTGAAGAAATAACAAATATATTATTAAAAATATTAACTTTTTTAAAAATGGCATTTGCTGGTATTACTGCAAGTTTGCATGAATTACTGCGAATGGTGTGCACCAATTACTGCAACGCTGAAAATGTTGATTTAGAGGTTTGGTTGACTGGATAGACCACAGTAATAGCAGAATGCGAAAAATATACGAATGCTCTAATTACTGTGATAGGTTCAATTGTAACTTGAATAAATAATTTGATAATAGTCGAAATATGCATCATTAGTGGATATAATATCAAATATTATTTGGAATAAGTTTTAAAGTCATTTTGAAACAGTTTTATGTTCTCAATTACTAAGTTTTACTAATTTTATAAAAATCGCAGTAATTGGCGCATCAGCAGTAATTCATACACTTACCCTATTTGGGATTGAAAAATCATGAATTTATCTTTTATGGTTGTAAGAATAAAAGAAACGGAATGAAGAAGAAAATTAGTAAATTATAGGTAGGATAAGATATAAATAAAGAATTGAATGGACATTAAAATGATCGAAGCCAATGTGGATAAAAGGAACTAGAACTTAAAGCCCTTGGTACTGATAGACAAATATTTTTAGGTTAGGTTTAGAATTACGTACTGTAATTAGAATATAAGGTTCTTATCGAGGGGGAATTTACTCTGGTAGTCAAGTGTACACTTGCCTGGTAATACTCGGTAATACCTGTAATATCTGTAATATTTTGTAATGTCTTGTAATAATGAGTATTTTGTGTAATACCATGTAATACTGTGTAATACTTGTAATATTGTGGTATTATGGTGTAATACCTTAAAAAATTTAAGGAAAAATGTTAATATAAGTAAAAATTTTAAACACTTGTTCAAATATAGCGCGGGAGTTGATGCTGAAGTATAGCAACTTTGCCATAGGTGGCGATTTCGAATGTTTACAGAATCAAATCAGAAGATGGTTCTTTAGTAATTGGCGAATTTTAGCTTTTAGCTACCTTAGTGTAATAAGTAAAAAAAATCGAGTACAGTAAGGTACATCTGCTCCTGTAATTACACCGAAACAAAATATGTGTAGTTGTAGTCAAGTGTACACAATTTTTACTAGTAAATTCCCCCTCGGTTCTTATATATATATCTATTGAAGAAAAATGTATATTTGTCTTTTTAAACCTTGCTTCTATCAGAAAGAGTAAAAAAACTGAAAAATATTTCGTTTAAAATATTACAAATTTAAAACTAAGAATTAATTAATATCTGATAATAGTAATATATATATATATACATTTTTAGTTTTAGAAAAAAAATGATGAGGAAGTGAATATTTAAGAAAATATCATATAAAGCACTTGGTGGAGCGCATCACCCTCATATAAACTCATTTTTATGTCATTTTATTCGCACTAGGGAATTGGATTTATTCGCAGATATATATATATATAAATAGCGACGACAGGGATAAAAAATGAAAGTTTTACGTTTGTTATTTCGCTCTCAAAAAAAAGTATATAATATAAATATATATGAGGAAAAAAAGAGGGGTCCTACGATTTAAAAGAAAGCGGAAGTCACTTAAACCTCTCGGTTGATATAGAAATATTTTGCTAGATTGTCAGATAATTCAAATAAAGATAAATCATAACAGGGTGTATTACTTTTATAAGGGACAAAAATAATAATAACAAATAACGCAAATGAAAGATTCCATTGTTCAACATTCCTTAAAAAATAAATTACCCAAACAGTTTAATTTAATATTAAATATTTTTTATACCAACATCCGTAAAATATATATTATATTTTTTTAATAAATATTGAATTTATTATTATTATTATTATTATTATTATTATTATTATTATTATTATTTGCAAATATCAAAATACATTTTTTTAAAAAAATTAAATTTTTTGGGACATAAAATAACTTGTTTTTTAAAACTTTTTATTCTTCTTCAAAAGAAAGACTGATACTTACGAATTCTCATGTCATCAATGTCATCAGCTGCTGCATCAATCTCTAAGGCTTCGAGGTCATTGGCTCCATAGAGGTTGAACTTTTTTGCCAAATAACGACAAATGGATTTGGATTGATTGTATTTTTTGCCATCAATCTCCAAAACTGGCATTTGGCCCATGGGCATTTCTAGAGGAAGAATACAATATAAAAATCATGTAAAAAAATTTTGAATAATTTTTTTTTTATATCACTTATATATTATTGTAAAAGTAGAAATTATTTAATAAAATATATAAAGTAAAATTTTCGAATTTATTTTATATCAATCGTAACGAATGTAAACATAAATTGATAAACAATTTTCATTTAATTCGTGAAAAATTAAATCTTCTTTGTGATGATCAAAAAAAATTTATTTTTTATAATTAAATAAAAATTATATTTAAAAAAAAAGAATAAATAAAAAGATTAAACAAAAAGTAACTAATATTTTATGGTATTTTTATAATAAAAAAAGCAATTTTTAACAAATTACAATAGATTTTTAGAAAATTGTTATAATTATTCATTTTATTGGCTTGTAATATCAAAAGAAAAAAAAAATGACAAAGTACTTAATCATCAACATCATTGAGATTGTTATACAATAATGTTTACAATGTATAGATTCATAGAAGAGAGAACTTACATAATAAGTAAAAGAAAAAAAAATGTAATTTTTTAAACTCTTATCGCTTCATTCCAGAACTTTGTATTCTGTCTATAAATAAACTTTAATCTATGTTCAATAAAATGTATATATATGTATATTCAATTATTATAACAATAATAAAATTTGCCGTACTCTCTAAATCTATGAATTAGTAAAAATTACTAATTTTTAGTAAAATCATGGCTAACTTTTTGCTTTAGCAATATGTAAAAACTGAGTAATTATTATTAGTTAAAAAATAACAGAAAAAACACTCAAACAATTGATTTAGTTAAATATTAACTGAAATTTCAGTTATTTTTAACTAATCCAAATGTACATGGAGAGTTTATTTGTAATCTGACATTGTACATACAGAAAAAAATGATTTTATTTTTAAAAAATAATGATTACGAATCTAACGTCAGATTTTCAAAATTCAACATGGCGGATCAAATATGGCGAATTTTTTTTTGAAAACTTAAATCTTACATTGATTAAAGCAACATATACTTTGCGGAAATGTAAAATTTGATTTTAAAATGAAAATTAATACGAGATTAAATAATTTTCTTTTGATTAGTATAATTTGATTAATATAATTTTAAATAATAATTACCAGATTTCATCTTTGGCCAATCGTCAAAAGTTAGACGAATATCTTCAAATTTAACTCCACCATAACTAAGTATAAATCTAACCGGTTCACCCAAGCCGGTTATATTGAAATAATACAACTTGTAGGACATATTAATTTTTTTTAAAAAAAGCGTAAATTTATTAAAATTAATATAAATTTCAATTAATATAAATATCACAAAAAAGAAATTATAAATTCAATATAATTGCACTTTATTTTTTATGGAATCGTAAAAGGGAAATAATTTTATATTATAAATATTTTAAAAAGTTGGATGTGGCACTGCCGCTTGACACGAATCGACTGTAATTTGTACTTGAGAATTGCAAAACACAGTGCCCCACGTATTCATTTCCATCATTCCTATCCATTCCCCACACAGACACAATATATATTCTCTTTGCCTCACCTCTTCCAGCAAGAATTTGCGATTTACTCTCATAGAGCATAGTGTAATTGCCATCTAGGCAATATTTGCGAGGGACGTGTCATTGAGACTACATAGAAATATTATGTCCTTGTATTTAAGTATTACATTCTCGCTAATTTTTATTGCTTATATATTTATAGTTTGTAAAGACAGTAATATTTCAAAAATAATTTTTCTTCTATTCAACAAAGTTTTTGGTATAAAACCCATTGATTCTTTTAATTAAATTTTCAAAATTTTAATGAATAATTATCATACCCAAGACACCGTGACCTCGACACCGTCCTTGGAAAATCTATTTTCTCTTATTTTCAAATAAATCAAAATAGTTTGCCATATGCTTTTAGAAAATCTTTTTATACTTTTTTTTGTAACATGTTTTTTCAATTTTAACCCGAAAAAGGGTTATTTTGGATTTTCTTCCCAAAAAAGGGTTATTTTGCAATTTTATGCAATTTTTTACGAATTTTTGGATATATACCTTTAAAATCTCTTTATAAAGGTTTACTCTGGATAATAAAAATAAAAACCGATATTTTAAAAGGTTTTTCGATTTATTATGGCCATCTACTGCCATCTACCTTCTAAAAAGCTCGGCTATATTGATTTTATCGACAAATTTTTTCTCATGCATTTTAGGTTATGTTTATAAGCTGTCACTTTTTAATTATCGAATTGCACATTGTCTTTGATTTTCTGTTATTTTCATTTTCAAATTAAATAGTGAAATGGTCTCCGCAATTGTACTATTACCAAAATATCTGAAAAAAATTCGTTTAATTTTGAGTCGATTCAATTCGGCCATGATTGATATAAATAGATTCAATTTTTTGCATCAAAAAATGAGACCGTTTCGTGTATCATTTCTAAAAATAATACACAAAACGATCTCTTTTTGACATATCTTATGTGCATCAAAACGTTGCAATAGAAAAAGATACAACCAAGTTTACTGTGATTTCATCCTTCAATGATACTGATCAAAATTAAGATAAATTTTATACAATATTAATAATATATTAATTTAAAACATAAATTATATATATAATATACATAAACTACAATAAGTAAACAACAATAAGTACAACTATAATCGAGCGAGCGTTAGCGAGCGAGGAATACATCGCTAGTATTACTTTATTATTAAAATGTCCGCCTCATGGTAATATTACACAAAATTTCAAAAACTACTTCAAAAATTTGAAATTTTTATGTATTTCAAATAAGCGTGTAATATTAAAGTACACGGAGAGAAATAGATGGTAAAAAATTATGATCTTAAGATGGTAAAAAGTAGATGTTATCCGGTACTATCAAAGATGTTACAAAAAGTATGGTTATGTTACCCACTACAATCAAGATGTTACTCCGTACAATCTGGATAGTAACTAATAGAATCTAGATTGCTGTTCCGTATATGTACACTGAGAAAAAAAATTTAGTGTTTGCAACAAAATTGTTTGGTTAGGCAATTTTGGTTGGCTGAAACAAAGTCGTTGAGTTGTCTCAACCAAAAATTTGTTTAGGCCAACAAAATTATTTGGTTGAACATTTTTAAAATTCAACCAAAATTTGGTTACGACAACAAAATAAATTGGTTAAAACAACAAAATAGTTTGGTCTAAAAAACCAAATGATCGTTTGTTGTCCAGTGGTCAGAGCTCCCGACCTTTAATTTTAAAACAGAGGTTCGATCCCAGGCGGGGATAAGATTTTTCAAAGTCCACAAATATTTTAATTGGATAAATATAAATTCAATGTTAAATTGATAATAAATAAATAATGAAATAAATAAAAAAGATAAAAAGAAAAGAGATAAGGTAGAATAAAATTTTTACAAAAAAAAAATGTTGGTTTAATCAACCAAACATTTTTGTTGACCTAAAAAAAAAATTTGGTTGAGCTAACCAAACATTTTTGGTATGCCAACAAAAAACACTCAAACAAATTTTTTGATTGACTCAAACAAATAGTTTGGTTGCTTAAATACCAAAAAAAAAATTTTGTTGGCCCAACCAAATTTTGGTTGCTTTGACTAAACATTTTTCTCATTGTCAGTGTAAGATCAAATATGTTACCTGGTACTATCTAAATAGTACCCCGTACCATCTATTTCTCTCCGTGTAATATTACAGTAGTATTGCTGTAATATTATAGTAATACTACTGTAATGTTACTGTAATATTAATCGGTAATATTACCATGAGGCGGACATTTTAATATTACTGTAATATTACGTGCTACTTGGGTATTAGTCCGGGAGTTAGCGACCAAATAAACCTTCTCATTTCATACCGGTTGAAAGTTGGACTATATAATTTACTCAAAACATGCCAGGAGAGAAATAGACGATAAGAATTTATCATCTTAAGATGGTAAAAAGTAGATGTTATCCGGAACCATCATTATGCTACTTGGTAATATCAAAGATGTGGCAAAAAGTATGGTTATGTTACTCCGTACAATCTGGATAGTAACTAATAGAATCTAGATTGCTATCCGTATATGTAAGATCAAATATGGTACCTTGTACTACCTGGATAGTACCCCGTACCATCTATTTCTCTCCGTGTGTAAATGACAAAAACACACATCTGTCAGCGGTTGGTTTAATAATGGCTCAATAATGGGAACCAGTCGTTTTAATATTGGTGCAATGATGGAACCCATAATATTAGACCACGATTGTTAAAATCTTGGAATAATCACGATGTTGACAATTATTGGTAGCCATAATATTGTTCCATAATTGGTTACCAAGATAAAAAAAGGATTCTAAAAAGGTTGGTTTTCAATTGGCTACAAAGATTGGACCAGTATTGGAAGCCAATGAACCCAGAATTTGAATGTTCAATATATGTTTTAGCAGCCAATGAAAACCTAATATTGGATGCCTATTAATGGCAATACATATCATCCAAAAATTTTATAATTTGTGGTCCACTATTGTCAACCATATAATTAGACGAGGATACAAAAATTTTAATAAATTTATTTCACATATGGAGATAATTAAAATATCTCCTGCCACCAAAACGACAAAGTGCGAAAAAAATTTAATGACTCGCAATCAAGGTGTTATCCGAACATTATAAATATAGACTCCGTTGTCGTTGAAATCAGAATTAAATTTCTTTTGCACTTTGCCGTTTTGGTGGCAGGAGATATTTTAATTATCTCCATATATGAAATAAATTTAATTAAATTTTTGTATCCTTGTCGAATTATTGGTTGCCAATAGTGGACCATAAATTATAAAATATTGGGATGATTCAAATTCTTGGTTAATAATTGGCTATACTAAGATTAGACCATTGGTGATTTGACAAGGAAAAAACGATTGGCAACCATTCTTGGCCCATTATTTAACCAATCGTAAGCACTGTCAATTTTCCATTGCGTACCTATATGGGTGATTTTCCACGAAGCGTACAATTCCATGTCCCTTGTGTTTTTTAAGAAATAAATTGTAATAAATTGTTTGTAGAATTCAGAAGAAAAATTGTTTGTTACAAAAAAATTTACAAAACTCTTATAAAAACTTATTTCATAATTAATTTTTTTGTTTTTATACTTTTAAAGCCACAATTTTACATAGGGAATCATATAATTCTCATGGTGAAGCCTTCACATATTTTACAATAAATTCAATAATTATTAATATTTGCTGTTAAATAAAATGTAGTTTTATTAATTTGACAAGTATACATGCCGTGAATACGAAACAGATTGAAAATCGTTGATATATTGTTTAAAAAAATCAATATTAGTTTTGCGTCATGATAAAGCCTCAATGTCATGGTGAAGCCTTTTTCAATAAAACGCGTGTATTATTCAGTGGGAATAAAATAAAATTATGAATAATTTGGCCGATCCACCACGGATATTTCATTCTTAAGCACTAATCCTGAAGATTATAATTTAAATTTTGTTAAATTGTAAAAAAAAATTTAATAATAGCAATAAATAAATTGTACGCTACGCGGAGAATCGTCCATATGTGAAATTCGATGAATTTCTGAATTCATTGACCATAATATTAATTAGTAATTTTTATTTCGTTTCATGCTTTTAATAATCAAAAATATAATGTTCGCGACGTGATTTAGTAACTTTAAATTTTTTGTCACTGGACAATGTCGACATTGCCCGGACAATGTCTAAAAATATTCATATCATTTAACTTTTCCGGGCAATGTTGAATATATGCTATATAATAGCTCATTATATTGTCCAAATACGTCATGAAATAAACAAAATTAATTACACAATAATGTAAACAAACTTTCGACAGTTAATTACTCTCCCACATAGCACAACTTCTTGCTTGGAGGTTACTGTAACGATATCTGTAGGGTTTGTAAGGTTACCGTGTAAGCCTGCAGTAAACTTGAGGTCATCTTAAAACTTCCGCCTTACAGTAAGCTTACATAGTAAAGCTAAGGTAAGCTTACACAGTAAGGTCGTGGTAAGTTTACATGGTAAGGTTGTGGTAAGCTTACACGGTAAGGTAGTTGTAAGCTTCCTTTAAGGTTACTGTAAGGTTGATGTAAGGTTACTGTAAACATAGAATGTTGTTAATAAATAAAATTTATTAATATTTATGCGCAGTAGTTTTCTATGGCACATACGGCTGCGCAGTAACTTTTTTTTGACAAACCCTATTGGGGTTCATAAAGTACTTTACCAAATATATAATTTTTTATACAAAACAACAGTGGTGCAATAGTGGTAATATAATTATTTTTAATATATTTTCATATTACTTTATATTAACCTTAGCTTTACTGTGTAAGCTTACTGTAAGGCGGAAGTTTTAAGATGACCTCAAGTTTACTGCAGATTTACACGGTAACCTTACAAACCCTACAGATATCGTTACAGTAAACTCCCAGCAAGAAGTCGTGCT